AAAAAAAAAAACAAAACATGAAAAAAAAAAAAAAAAAAAAAAAAAAAAAAAAAAAAAAAAAAAAAAAAAAAAAGGAAAACAAAAAATATTCCAACAAAAAAACTGCAGCACTCCTTGGGAAAGGGAAAGACTGCACGAGGAGGGACACAGAGGGGTGGAAGGCAAGCAATGGAGGCTCTGCCCAAAGCTTCTCCGTGCTGGCTCAGGGGATGGAGTTCAGGAGATCCTTGAGGAAGCTGTCGGGATCATTGATTTCTGACAAGAGTCCTTTGAACAGAAGAAGGCAAGAGAGAAGAGTCAGCCCCTGTTTGTCCTGCCCCAGGAGGGATTCGTGCTGGGCCACGTGTGAGCTCCTGACAGCTGCAGGGTTATTTTAGGGCTGGGCACGAGCAGGGTAAGCCCTGCAGGAGGGGCTGCAACGGGAATTCTGTGAGACACTGCATGCACATGGAACTGCTGCTGGGCAGCCGAGGGACCCAGCTCTGCTCCCCGTGCTGGGCAGTGAGAGGCTGGCCTGGGACACAGATTTTGAGAGAAGAGCGAGCAGCTCCAGCTTCTCTGCAGGTTTTCAGCATCTCCTGACTCCTGGAGGTACCAAAATCCTTGGGGAGCACCTCTGGCTGCACCCAGCTGCTGCCTGGTCACATCTGCTCACCAGCTTCAACCACAGACCCCCCCCCAGGCCACCTGCCAGCTGTGCTGCAGGTGTTTAACAGAGCAGGGGGGAGGTTTTCCTGCCTAGGGCTGCCCAGGTGTGTGTCCCAGCAGTCTGGGGACAGCCAGGCTGTGCCTAGGTAGTGCTGATCCCTCCCCACGAGCTGCAGCAGTGTCAGGAATGCTGCTGGCTCCAGTCACCAGCTGCACAAGGCAGCCTATAAAAGGGCAAGCAAACACTCACCAGCCACATCCAAAAACTCAGAAAACGTTTCCACTGGCATGAATTCCTCCTGGAAGGTTTTCAGGGCCTTGTCTGCAGCCTCGTGGATTGGCATGTCGTTGTGTCGGATGAACTCGGCCAGAGAGAAGGACCAGCCTCCCTCTGTGTTACTGGTAGGCACCTTCTGACAGAGGTCAAACACACCAAATCAGCCAAAAATAATGAATTAATGAAAAAAAAAAGTTAGTGCAAATCCTGGTGCCTTCTCCCATTGCTCCTGGATTTCCACCCCTGCCTCTTGCAAACAACCAACAGAGAAAGAAATTCCCCGAGTGCAACTTCAGGATTTTTTTGCAGAATGAAACAAGGTCCCAGGCATTTCCTCACCCTGAGCACTGAACCCTCTGTGGAAGCTGCAGGTTTCTTTCTGCCCCTGGCTCCTTCCTCACCCCAACCATTTCCCTGGCACAGCCTGGAATGTCCTTCCTTCCATGAACAACCAACAGGAAAAATAAGCAAGCACACAACACACCAGTGCTGCCAACTGGAGAAGTCTCTCAATTCTTCAGCCACTGAACTGCAAGGGGTACAATGAGCACAGGCAGCTTCCTGTGGCCTTTCTGCTTTTACAAGGTGCAGAAGAAAAAAGAAGGAAACAATCCTTCCCTGGGAGGGTGTGAGGCCCTGGCAGAGGTGCCCAGAGCAGCTGTGGCTGCCCCTGGATCCTGGCAGTGCCCAAGGCCAGGCTGGGCAGGGCTGGGAGCAGCCTGGGACAGGGGAAGGTGTCCCTGCCATGGCAGGGGTGGAATGGGATGAGCTTTAAGGTCCCTTCCCACCCAAACCACCCTGGGATTCTCTGAGGTTTCGTTTCCAAGGACCTTGAAGAAAGGGGTTTCAAATTTTGATTTCTATTTCAAACTCCTGGAACTGCTCGGGTAAGAAGGCTGACGTGGAGCTGAGCTGGAGGTGCTGCAGGGGAGCTGCAGTGCTCTCCTTACCTTGAACATGTTGTAAATGAGATCCACGAGTGCCCAGAAGAGCAGCCCCGAGCGGTACGTGGCGTATTCCTTCACTGCCTTGTCTGCCAGTCTGCCAGAAGGAGAAACGGCCCTGCAGTTAATCCCGCTCTGCCCGGGCTCTGCTCACCCCCTGGTGCACAGCAGCTGCAGCAGCAGAGCCCCCCAGGACAGGCAGGGAGGGCTCTGAGGGAGCCGGGCTGGCTGTGCCTGGCAGGGCACCTTGGGGTGCCTCTGCTCCAGCTGTGCCCAGCACAGCTGTGCCACTAAAACCTCCTTGCACAGGAAGGAAACGAGCACAGAGGGGACTGGAGGGCTCAGACTGCACAGCAAACCAACAGCAGGGTGGGGAAAAACAATGTAAACCCCCTGTTTGGGTGTTCACTGCTGGAGAGCAGCAGATTCCTGAAGGAATGGCCAAATCCGGGTCTCTAGAACAGCTTTGTGCTTCTAACTCATAAAACCATTTCTGCAAGACTCTGAGGGAAATCCTTGAAGAAATGGAGGAATTTCCATTTAATATATCCTTGGTTATTTGTGGGACTCAGATTCAGTCAAAGAAAGAAACTGAGAGTTTCTAGCCAGGCAGAAGCCTGGGAAAGAGCTGGAGAAGAATTCTTTATCTCTCTTGTTGTTCACATTGTTTATAGTTAAGTTCTATCACTGTGTGTCAAGCACTTTGCACCAATGGTTTGAGTTGTTTTCACTTCAGGACCAGTGGAGTTGGTCCTCATGAAGCTCTGTATAAAAGAGCAGTGTATTTTGAATAAATTGGAGTTTTACTCTCAGCAGCCTTCTGGTCTGGTCAGTCCTCTCATTCCCGTCCTGCCTCGACAGTGACAGTGATTCTCCTGCCAGGAAAGGACTTGTGGAAATCCAGCACCTGGGTTTGGAGCAGTAGGAATGCCCTAAAAGGTGAGGAGCTGTGCTGGGACAGCAGCTCCCCAAGTCTGCTTGGGGATTAATCACAAACAGGTTCTGGCAAGGCAGAACCTCCTGCCAGCTGCTCTCATGGGTTTGGAATTTTTGTGCCTGTGCTCCTCAGGTACATCTGCCCCATCACGTGCTGCTTCCTGCTCAACATTCCAGAGCTTTGGAAAAACAAAAAAAATCATTTTTTATGCACCCAGGACCAGCTCAGCCGCTGCTGTGGGTCAGCAACACAACAGAGGCTCCCAGCTGCAACCTGCCCAGGACTGGGCTTTTCTGGGGGAAAAATGAACATTCTGCTGCTCTTATGAAAAGGCTCCATTTGTGCATGTGTGTGTGCCCTTAAAACAGACATCTTAGTAGGTGGCAGCCTGCTCGGGCAGCTCAGCTTAATTATTTAAAGGAAAACCAATTAGTAAAGGTGACTAAATTTCCACGGGATGAAGAGCAACTTAGAGCCGGGCTAATTCTGGCCTTCCAAGTACTGCAAGACAGACTCATCCTTTCATGTGAATGGGTTTGATCTAATTGCAGTCTGCTCCTTTAATTGAAAACTAAGAGGCCCTTGTGGGTTAGGGCTGTAGGTACCTCCTGGAGCAGCTGCTCCATGGAGGAGCTGCTGGGTTTGCTCTGGAGCTGGCCAGGGACTGCAGCAGAAAGCCACAGACACTGGGGGAGTGTTTTAGAGAGGTCACAGTGAAGAGCGAAGGGGAAACAATCAAAATGGACTTTTCCTCCCAAATTCCAGGTGAAAGCTATGCTGAAAAACATCTACAGGTTTTTTTTTTAGCCAGGATTTGTGGCTCGGTAACAATGAGCACTTGATTCAGTTCTTTGGGATCTGTAAATTATATTTATAGAAACCCAGAACTGGGATCCATTCTGGGAATTTCATCTTTGGGTTTAAATAGGAAGTGTTTCCAAACAGGGGAGGTGCTGAGCATCTCCCCCTGGTACCTGCGGTACCATCACTCCTGGCACAGCCAGAATCCCTTTTTGGCTCAGTTCTCCCCAAATCTGTGTGACCCCGAGTGGCCCAGCTGAGGAGCTGGATGGGCACCTCCCCGTGGGACAGGGAATGTGTGGGATTTGCTGCCTTGGGATGAGGGAATGCAGAGCACTCCTGCCCCTTCCCAGGATTTACAGGAGGTTCCAAACCTCCAGCACATCCTCAGCTTTTTGGAGAAGCACTGGGGGTTCCTGCAGCGGTTCCTGTCCCTTTCTGAGATGCACAGGTAGCAGTGAGTCCTTGAGTGTCCCCAGCCTTCACCCCAGTGCTCTGGGAATGGAGCTGCTCCCAGACAACACCCTGAATATGGAATGCTAATTTTAATGTTTTGCATGCAGACATTACCCTGGTGTCACAGCCAGTGGCTTCCTCTCTGCCTCAGCCGACAAATTCAAGATATTGGCACTTATCTGCAGAGCCTTTCACCATCCATCACCCTCTTCCTGATTTTCCACAAGAATAAATAAGCACAGAGCTTGGAAATCAGAATTTTGCTGAGAGGCTTTATCAGAGGGAGGCTTTGTGCTCTCTTAGTCTGCAGAGATTAAAGAAAGCCCTTGAATAAACCTTGACATAATTCCTGAGCACTGTTCCTGAGTGTGCTCCCCTGAAATTCCAGAG